CAAATAGCATGGAACGAGAGAGAGCATATTGTGTTAACGTAATCAGAGTAACAATGCACTTGCTTTTTGTTCAGCTAAGCTCCGGTTTAGCTGAACTCGAAGTAAAATTTAGGTAGGAGATGTACTCTAGGGAGATATACTTTCCGTGCTACGTGCACTCAGTAAAGTACGAGTAAGTTCTTTGTTGGTAGTCTTGACATGATGACATCTTCACATTTGTTTTCTAAAAATTCAGCAGCTTTTGACATGATACATTCTACTGTCTTGTGTAGAGTTATATGTACTCATTTGTGACTTCAAGTTGGAGAGAAAAAAGTTGAAAATGGGAAAATACTTGAAGAATATATGATGATTCTCTTGCTTGAACGGTGTCGTTTGGTTGGTGAACAAATTATTCCAGAGTTATAATTACAGGGATTGTGAATCTCCGTATAACTTGTCACCAACTAAACGACTCTATTTGTTACACCCCCAATCCCCCATACAGAAAATGTTGATATATGAGTTTGGGACAGAGAAGTTGAGTTTTTGTGCATCCCATGGATCCATTTTTTTATTTGCCCAGCCCAAGATAGAATTTGAAAGATGGAAAAATTATCTGAACTAGCGATCTCGACCCACATATTACACATATATACGTATCGATATATCTAAAAATTAAATTTTGCTATATTTTGCAAAAATAAACCCTAGTAACGCTACTTAATTATGAAATTTTCCTATTGGAGAACATTAGAGCAATGGTCTATAGTAGGCCTTGAAGTATCACATAATTTCAAAATTATCTAACTAGAATTTTGCAAATGTAAGCAAAGATATGGACAACATTAATTTATTTGAATTTTTGAACAAATAAAAAGTCAAGAGGAATAATTGAACTTTGGAAAATCAACTTTAATTCTTAGTGACTCTCAAAGTGGGACCATAAACCAAATTTTCAGACTATTTTATTACCACAACTTAAAAGTTCTAGAATATAGAAAAATCATCACTTCTTTTTATTTATTTATTATATCCAAATTATGTTCAATCTATTTTATTTTATGTCTTCCAAAAAAATAATAATAATACAAAAGTTGACATTGTGTACATGTCATAACATACGTATATATATATATACATTTGTGTACTAAAATAACTCAATTTTCTATGTCAACAACAGAACCATCATGAATTGAACAACTTTATCAGAACTTACTGATTTAAGATCGAATAACTTTATGAATAGATTTTTTTCTATTAGAATCCTCGAAAACGTTTAAATTCTGAATTTGCCGTTTCGTTGTATGCCAAATTGGGAATAAAAGATTTGAAGAAATTGGAGAAAAAATGTAGTCCTTACAAAGTGCGTAAAAAGAAAGTGGGCAAAACGTACGATTGTCTGCATGTAATTAGACCCATCTTTTGTTCCACCAACCCAACCACTAACAAAAATACATGATCTCCATACCTTTTGAAAATTAGTGGCTAAGTTTCGAAATAATGATATCAGGTGTTAGTAATTTAATTTTTATATAAATTTAATAAATATTTTAATATTAATATAAAGTTTGAATTGAAATTATTGAGTTCGGTCTGAACTCAAGAAAATGATCAAAATAGTCCTAAATGTAAAAAGGTTGGACTATTTTAGTCCTTCATATATATCACGAAGCGGAAATGATTTTTAATGTATAGAAAAAATGACCATTAATTTTAGTTCTTCATATATACCACATAACTTGCATTTTGTGAGCTGATGGTTTATCGAAAATAACTTCTTTACCCCACAAAGGTAAGATAAGGTCTACATACATCCTATCCTTTCCAGACTCGTGAGTCGTATTACTCCATTATTGCAGACGCACAATGGTGGTAATTACAAGAAGAAAAGGGTAGTTTTTGCTTGTAAATCGTTGGTTAAACATAATAGATTTTTTGACTTACAACGTTACTTTTAAGGTTTAGTACTAAGCAAAAATGTTTATAAAAGTTTAACATGATGAATATGACATGTTCAGCTTAATCAAGGTATGATTAAAATACTAATTAGGATGGTACTTTGTGCATATAAAAGTTGGACTTTGACCGTCATGTACGTGCACAACCACATATAGAAGAAAAGTGATTTATTTTTTATAAATAAATAAACACAATTTGTAATAAGTTTAACTTTAATTATAAAATAAATTATAAAATTAATGTCACTGTTACTATGTATTTAATTATTTACTAATTAGATTTTGAGAAATCCCATGAGGATTTGTCATTTAGGAAAATGGAATAAAAAACGCCATAGATGTTAACAAAAACTAAAATTTAAAATAACGCGTTTATATATATTTTTTATAAAAAAGTTGATTTTTTGATGAATAATAAAGACAAAATCCAGTCAAAGTCAAATTAATTAAATAGAATAATTCAATATCAACCAACTAGAGAATTTATATTTTGCTTTATTTGTATATGGAAGTAAAGTAAAGGCAGCTTTCATGCCTTTTTCATTTTCAAATTATATTTTTTTAAAAAGAAGGTCCACTTATTGGTTCAATTTTATTTTTTCTCATATTTTAGCAACAAAAATAATTAAAAAAAATTAATTGATACTTTGTATTTTTCTATCATTTATAATTATTTTGTTCCAATAGTTTTCTCATATTTTCCTTTCGACTTAATACATTGATAACCTTTCAGACTTTCTAGCATATTTTATCTAGACACTCAAATTAATTATAATTTGTTTCAATTGAATATATATATATATATGATAAAGTATTTTTTATCAGAAACTTCTGATTCAAAATTTGGAAAAAATTATTACGCATGATCTAAATATTTATTACATCAATAAGATTTCTGATAATATATATGAGTGTGTTTTTTTGTGTGTGGGGAAAAGTTATACATTTGGATGCTTGGTCAATATTACTTTATATTTGCAATCTATATATTTATTAACTACATTTTAGTGGAAACTATTTAAATTATTTTTTTCTTTCTTCTTTTTCAATTACAACTAGCATTTGACTGTCAATTACTAAATTTTACAAAGCAGCCTTAAAAATGTAAGCACATGTGATTATCATTAATTAGTAATTATTTTAATTATAACCAAGTAATAGTTTTATCGAATCATCAGTTAATAATTGATGTAGGATCATACTGATTAAAGCAGAAAAAAAAAACAAAAAAAAGAAGAAGGTTTTGACAAATTAGTGTTTGATTATTAATATTCTTGAATAATATGAACATAGTGGAACCTAATATTAATAATTGTAATCATCATGTGCCTTTACATGTGACGATTTATAGATTACGAATTTAATTGTGAAAGTAGATACTAATATTCTACATCATACTTTTATAAATTGCAATTTTTCATCAGACCCTATATGAACATGAAGTGTTTTGTCGAACTAATCTATTTTGACATATCATCAATCAAATATTAAAAATATTTTGAAAACTTTGATTACTTGTATGAAATTATTTTAATTAAATAAAGTATTTGTTAATTTGGTGTCGGTGTTTTTCTTGATTTAGTAATTCTGGAAGATTATTTTGTAATGTACTCATATTATTTTGTCTTATTGATTAATGTGTTCAGCTCATCAACATTCATACGTTGAAAAGGTCAAAATGGGGATTTTCTTTTTTATTTATTTATTTTGACTTGGTAAACGATGAGAGTTGATCTCAAGATAAGTCATATAGTTGGCAAGATTTTCAAAAACAAGTTTAATTTAAGGTTCATAGAATAAAAAAAAAAAATTGATTTTTTTTTTGTTTATTATGTAAAAGTTTTTATCAATTATAACTTGTACAAATATATTATAAGAAATTAATTATTTTTATTTACTCAGCGTGTCAAACTAATCGAAGCATGAAAATATTAAACACAAAGTGAAAATGTATTTATTTAGTTAGTAAAGTATATGTTCTATCATCCTAATTAAAGGTTTAGAGTTTAAGTAAAAAGTGAAAATTAATTATTGATTATTTTAAAGTGGGGGTAAAAAAGGAATATGATAAATAATTCTATTTAGTTAGACTATAAAGTAGAAAATCTATTCAAAAGATTATACAATCTACAAATAATAATAATATAATATATTAAGTATAATTTCATAAAGTGGAGTTTAGAGAGGGTGAAGTGTACGTAGATCTTACATTTCTACCTCAATGGTAAATAACTTATTTTCAATAGTCCCTCGATTCAAGAAAAAGCAGTTCAACAATTGAGGTACAAAAAACATCTAATAACAAAAGAGAGTAACATAACAAAAATTGCGATAATTGAGGTACAAGAAATTAACATATAGTAACAGAAATCGAAGGACAAGAAACAACAAGAGCAATACTATGACTACTAATATGAACGAACAATAAGACAACACACTACTAACTACTAACCTTCTATCATAATTCGTACCCTCCACACCCTTCTAACTAAGAGCATATACTCAGTAAAAGTGAAACTACATCATATCCTATCTAATAACCTCTCCCCTGGTGGAGGCCAAATAACTAATGAAACATAGTCGAAACAATTTGGTCCAAACATCACCTTCATAAAAAAAAAAAACAGATAAATTTAGTCATACGTATGCATGTTGATAGAAGGGTGTGCACAAATCAATTTAAATGTTATCGTAATAAGTAAAATATTAGTATAACAATTTGTTTAACATATGTTGGTAGAAGATAACAAATATTTGATGAAATAATCGAGATAGCTACGAACAAATGTAGGCTTGTGAAAAAGCTTGATTTATAGGCGCTGACTCTTTATGCAATAGATGCAACGTTGCGCAATCTTAGCTTTAGAATTTATTTATTATATTATGCATTTGATGTTGACGTTTTAGAAAGCAAAGCAAAGCAAATTAATTTAATAATCATGAAAATAATGACTTTTATGACAATATAGAAAAAATCATCATATTCCCTACATAATATATATATGTAACAAATATATACATTTGTCTTCTTAATTTTTTTTATTTATTTTTTAAAAAAAGTTCATAGCTTTCACTGTTGGTGCACTAGAAAGATTGGATTCTGCAGACCCCATATAAGTATAGGCTTTCTTTCTATTTTGATTTTTTGTTTTAAGATTGATTCTTGATTCTTACATTTGATCATTTGCCAGTTACATGGAAAAAGATTGAATTTTTAACAATCTTTGGTTTATCTGATTGGCTGATATCTTTATAAATTATAATTGGATTTATGGGGTTTTGGTTCGAAAGATTGAATTTTTTAGATGTGAAAATAACATTGGGATTTTGGGCATTTTTTTTTGCTTCTTTTCTTGATTTGGGTATCTGGGGTTTTTGTGATTTTCTATGTATGAGGTGATCTTAGGATTCTACATTTGGTGATTTGGGTATGTTTCTGTTTCTGCTATAACGGTTATCAGTGATTTCAGTTTCTTGATTTGATTATCATAAGGACTTGGGAATGTGTGTAATGGAGTTATGCTAATTTGGCTTCTTTTTTTTCCCTCAGTTTTTGGTGAATTCTGTATGGGTGACAAAGATTGAGCCTTTTTGGTTTGTTTTGTTGTCCTACAAGTTTACTGAGTTGAATTTGTGGAAAGCTTGAGCCTTTTTGTTTGTTTTGTTGTCCAACAAGTTTACTGAGTTGAATTTGTGGAAAGCTTGAATCTTTTGTGTGTGTGTGTTTTTTTTTTCTGAAATTCCTTGGTGTTTAGCTTGGAGAGGTAGTGAATTGCTTTATCTTACTTTGGAGTGAATTGGTTTACGGATTTTGATCTTCGGGGATACTGATTTTCTTAACATAGGAAGAAGCAATTCATTGCATTTTGGATTACTTTTTCGTTTTTAGTTTATAGTGGTTGGTGATTTCTCAATGAATTTCTTGAAAGATCGAATTTTTGTGTTGTTTTGTTATTCGATGAGTTTTTACTGAGTTGAATTTGTGGAAAGCTTGAATCTTTTCTTGTTGTTTTTCTGAAATTCCTAAGTGTTTAGCTTGGAGAGGTAGTGAATTGCTTTACCTTACTTGGGAGTGAATTGGTTTACGGATTTTGATCTTCGGGAATACTGATTTTAACATAGGAAGAAGCAATTCATTGCATTTTAGATTACTTTTTTGTTTTTAACTTTATAGTGGTTGGTGAATTCTGAATGAGTTTCTTGAAAGATTGAACCTTTTTGTTGTTTTGTTATTCGATGAGTTTTTACTGAGTTGAATTTGTGGGAAGCTTCAAATTGTTGTTGTTTTTTTTCCTGAAATTCCTAGCTGTTTAGCTTGGAGAGGTAGTGAATTGCTTTTTCTCTCTTGGGAGTGAATTGGTTTATGAATTTTGATCTTCCGGGATACTAATTTAAACATAGGAAGAAGCAATTCATTGCATTTTGGATTACTTTTTCGTATTTTACTTTATAGTGGTTGGTGAATTCTGAATGAGTTTCTTGAAAGATTGAACCTTTTTGTTGTTTTGTTATTCGGTGAGTTTTTACTGAGTTGAATTTGTGGAAAGCTTGAATCTTTTTTTTTTTTTTGAAATTCCTAAGTATTTAACATAGGAAGAAGCAATTCAATGCATTTTGGATTATAGTGGTTGGTGAATTCTGAATGGGTTTCTTGAAAGATTGAATCTTTTTGTTGTTCTGTTATTCGACGAGTTTACAAATTGAATTTGTGGAAAGCTTGAATCTTGTATTGTTTTTTTTTCCTGATATCCGTTGGTTTGTAGCTTGGAGAGGAACTAAAGTGCTTTATCTTACTTGGGAGTGAATTGGTCTATGGATTTTAATCTTCCGGGATACTGATTTTAATATAGGAAGAAGCAATACATTGCATTTTGGATACCTTTTTCTTTTTTATTTTACAGTGATTGGTGAATTCTGAATGAGTTTCTTGAAAGATTGAACTTTTTTGTTGTTTCGTTGTTCGACGATTTTACTGAGTTGAATTTGCGGAAAGCTTGAATCTTTTGTTGTTTTTGTCTGAAATGACCAGGTGTTTAGCTTGGAAAGGAATTGATTGCTTCGTCTCACTTGGGAGTGAATTGGTTTACGAATTCAGATATTCTGGGATACCAATTTTAGCAATTTATTGGATGTTTGTGGTACCTCTTTTGGGGAAATTCAGTTAGAGCAAGTTGTGCTCTCTGTTGGGTAGAATTCTTGAAATACTGCTAATTTTGATTGATGTTTGGAGAGTTTACTATCGGAAAAATGGTGTAAATTTAGCAAGTTTTTGGTGGTGGTGAAATGTCAGTAGTAGTTTCTCCACCTCCAAGTCTTGCACCATTTCCTGTTCCACCAGTTGTCTTGAGTCCACCTCCTCAGCTTTCTTCTCCGGTCCCTGCATCTCAGCCTAATGCGACAGTACCACCTGTGTCTTCTCTTCCTCCAACATTACCCCCGCAATCTTCTCCTCCCCCGGCCTCACCAACACTGCCACAATCGCCTCCTCCAAGTAACGTGACATCGCCTCCTTCAATGGCTTCCCCACCCACAGAATCCGCTCCTCCAACTGTTAGTCCTCCACCTATCCCACCTGCTAGTTCACCGCCACCTATATCTTCTCCTCCGCCTTCCAGTTCACCACCACCTCAATCTTCTCCTCCCCCTGCTAGTTCTCCTCCAACTACACCTAGCCCACCAGTTAGTTCATCACCACCTCCAGAAGTTGAGCCTCCACCTGTATCACCTCCCCCACAACCAACTGTTCCTACAAGTTCACCTCCACCGCCTCCAAAAGATGATCCTCCTCCTACCTCACCTCCACCACAACCAACTACTCCTCCAAGTTCACCTTCACCACCTCCCAAAGTTGATTCTCCACCTTTTTCACCTCCGCCACCTGCACAGAATCCGGATCCTACTCCACCACCACAATCTCCTGAACCTCCGAAAGGTTCACCCCCTTCACCACCCGTGAATTCACCTCCATCACCAGCGTCTGTGCCACCAAAAGGCTCACCTCCTACCCCAGCCTCTGACCCTCCTACAAATTCACGTCCATCTCCAGCATTTACGCCACCACAAGGTTCACCTCCTACACCATCCTTGGAACCTCCTAAAAATATGCCTCCTTCATCATCAGTTCCTTCAGGTGGAACCACTACCAATAGCTCCAGTGACGATGCAGCAGGTAGCTCAAACAGTTCCAGTAGTAGCGGCCTAGGAACTGGAGGTACAGTTGCGATTGGCGTCATTGTTGCTGTTTTATTGCTTAGTATTGTTGGATTAGTGGGTTGGTGCGTATGGAAGCGAAAGAAAAAGGCTTTTCGTCCCAGTGGCGAGAATGTCATGCCAACCCCTTCGGGCTCCACCCCAAATTCTGGTAACTTTTCAGAAACTAGTATATTATTCATTAGCATGTCAGTATATGTTTCAGATCTTTTTGAAGCAACATCAATGTAATATTTGTGGTTCATAAATTTAATGCAATCTGAGAAGATGCTCAAATTGTGTACAGATTCCGTCTTATTGAAGATACAGGAATCAACACCTGATACCAGAAATGGAACTGGCAACAAATTCCTAAATTCTCCTGGAGGATCTGGTGGATTTGGAAATCCAAAGATATGGTTTACCTATGAAGAACTAGTTAAGGCTACTGGTGACTTCTCGGCTGAGAATTTGTTGGGGGCGGGTGGATTTGGTTCTGTATACAAAGGATGTCTACCAGATGGGAGGGATGTAGCAGTAAAGCAACTAGATATTGGTGGGAGCCAAGGGGACCGGGAATTCAGAGCTGAAGTTGAAATCATTAGTCGAGTACACCATCGCCATTTGGTTTCCCTTGTAGGTTATTGCATTTCTGAAAATAGAAGGCTGCTTGTTTATGAATATGTCCCAAATAACACCCTTTACTTCCATCTTCATGGTAAATACAAATCTTTTTTTTTTTAATAAGAACTCATTGTTGGCATTTTGTCATTAAAACTAGATGTTGATACTTGCAATTTACAGCCGAAGGAAGGCCTGTTATGGATTGGACAACACGTGTTAAGATTGCTGTTGGTGCTGCTCGTGGAATAGCTTATCTGCATGAAGATTGTAACTTTCTTCACTTCTTTAATTCTTATAGTTATGATTGATTATCTGCACTTTGTTTCTTCTCTGGGTGAATAAAATATGACTAAAGAACTGAGAAAATTGCACCATCAGATAATATGTACCTGATTATCACTGTTAAATTTTTTTTAATGAACCCTTCTCTTTCTGCATCAATTACAAAAAACATTGAACAATACTTACAAAAAAGAATACATTGAACAAGTATATAAGATACTCCACTATCAACTTTCTCGTCCTATTTGCCTAATGAGAACAAATAGTAAAAGAAACAATGGGAGGGGGGGGGAGAGAGAGAAGATGTATATAAATATATCAGCTTAACCGAAAGTCACAGGACCTTTGTTGTTGGCATTTTCCTTGTGACGAAGTGACAGAAGTTTCTCATTTTGATGAAACTGAATCTATTAAACTATTAATCAGTAGCAAATGCTTATAATTATACTGTTAAAAGAAGAAATAGAAGAGAGAAGAAAACTAGAGCAGGGGAAATGATATTGGTGTGATCTGTAATTATACGACCTCCTTGTTCTTGTTGCCTATAATATCAACGTGGTACACTGATTCTAATTATCACTCTTCTTTTGTTTCACTCATCTTTCCTGGTGATGACAGGCCATCCTCGTATTATCCACAGAGACATTAAGTCATCAAACATTCTTTTGGATATTAACTTTGAGGCTCGGGTATGTCGACATACTCAAACTCCATTAGTGGCATTCTTTGATTCGCAAACTGACTTATAATTCTATTTATTTTTCACAGGTTTCTGATTTTGGATTAGCTAAATTAGCTCAGGATGCAAAAACTCATGTTACAACACGTGTTGTGGGAACATTTGGGTATGTTCCATCACCAACTTAAACACTAAGTGGAATATAGGAAAAAATGAATTATATTCCTCCTCTTTATGTGTATATTAATACCTTGAATCGTTTCAGATACATGGCTCCTGAATATGCATCAAGTGGCAAGCTGACTGAAAAATCCGATATATATTCTTTTGGGGTTGTGCTTCTGGAGTTAATTACTGGACGGAAGCCTGTTGATACATCTCAGCCTTTAGGGGACGAGAGTCTGGTTGAATGGGTATGTTTATAGTCAAACCAATCTCTTCTTTCTCCGAGTCCAAAGCGGCATGTGGTCTCTTTCATCAGCCACTCTCCACATTGTGTGATAATTATGCACTGGTTATTTGTCTCACGTACAAGTTAACATATATGCATGGGCAGAGTACAAGTACTGTGTTTAGTCCATTTTACTAGGACAAGCTCTACGTTTAGGATTTACTGATTCGTCCTGTCATTTCCACACTGCACAAAAACTTGGTCGATGAGGTTTGAAGAAACCACCATTGGTGCTACACTGCTACTCTACAGCAGGCGTCTATTCTCACCTCTTCGAAAGTTCCTTTCTTTTAGCTTTCTTTGTTCTAGCACATCAGTATGCTGGGAGGTTTCTTAGCTATAAGTTGTTTTAAAAGAAATTCAGACCTCTATCCTGGAAACCTTAGCATGAGAAACTACCAAAACATTAGCCTCTGGAAAGTGTGTTTGTCCTTTTTGACTTTAGGAATAGAGTATTTGCAACAGGATTCGTTTATTGTTTGACCTACCATATCATATAGATGCCTTCTACTCATCTGCCAATTCAATGGATCAGAGTTGCTCTTCTTACAAATGGTAGTGAGCTTGTCCTTGTTTTTGTTTGTAAGATTGATAAAGTTCAGAGGATAATTGGAAGTGGACACACCTAGGGAATTGTGATGATTTATTTTCAGGACATTAATTAAAGATAATCGTTGGCATCCTATGTTCATCGCATTTTCTTATATCCTTTAGTTAAATAGGAGAAATCAAGGAAAGGATGGAGATAGATTTGATGTTGTAGGATATTAAGTGTTTCAACTCTATTCCAACTCATTTGCAGCTTGCATGACTGAGTGGGTGAAAGAAAATTGTGTACTAATTGCACAAATTTGGTGTTTCATTTTCGGGAAGTTTCCGTCTTGTAAGGGTTCATTTGAGTCCATATTATAACCGTTTCTTATACGGAAAATGATTCATTCTCTGATTACCTGAGCAGAAAGGCTTCTACTAAAAGTTATTTCTATTTCCATTTGGTTCCTGAGAATGTTTATTCTTTCGAGTAGAACTAAATTCTATTACTTATCATGACAACTCACATTGAATCAGCCTAACATTGTTTTGAAATCGTATCGATGTAAAACTTGGTCAGACATGCTGCAACTTGATCTTTTTTTCTCTTCCAGGCTCGACCATTGCTTTCTCATGCCCTTGAGAAATTGGAATTTGATCAGCTGGCAGATCCACGCCTCGAGAGGAATTATGCTATCCCTGAGATGTTTCAACTGATTGAGGCAGCTGCAGCTTGTGTGCGCCACTCAGCAGCAAAGAGACCAGGGATGGGACAGGTAACTGATTCTTCATTTTACTAAAATCTTACGCCTGAAGCACCGGTAAGACTTGTCACGAAGGGACTTGACATTCCGATCATTCTTATTCTTTGCAGATCATGAGAGCTTTTGATAACATGTCTGTGTCTGATCTAACCAATGGGATGAAAGTTGGCGAAAGTACAATATATAACTCTGCAGAACAATCTGCAGAAATAAGATTGTTTCGAAGGATGGCATTTGGTAGTCCAGATTTTAGTTCCGATTTTTTTAGTCAAGGTACACAACATAGTGGAGAGTCAGCTGAAGATAGAGTATAGTACACAGCTAAAGGTCTTGTTAAAGCAAGTGTATATTCATCTGTTCATAGATCAAAAGCACCTACTTTGAGAGGTATGCGTTTGCCTCTCCGAGGTGATTTTGGTTATGTTTTGTAAGTAGCTTCCTTTTTGTCTGCTTACATATAGGCCATGCTTTTTTAGTAGCAATTTTTCCTGTAAGTAACATGAATTTTTTTATTATCTCCAATATTTTTGTTCTTTCAAAGGTCTATTCAACTTCTTTGTTCTTCACAAATGGTGGAAATATGTAGACTTTGATGGGAACATGTAGTTCCTTGAGGATAAAGCTTTTGTGAGAGGAAGCTTAGTATTCATCAGAAGATTTCTACACCAATGAATCAACAATTCCGATTCTTTCTTTTTCTCTTGATTCTCTTCCGATCAAGATGTATAGATCATGTTCATGGATTAACGAAAATGTTCTCTATTTTCCCCTTCCTTTTTGTGCATGTGATCACATTTCTTTGGCAGCATCCATTAATTTGGAAATATTTGCTTAAAAGAGAATGTATGCACCTGGTGGAATAGTCGAGGTGTGTGCAAGCTGGTTCGTGGTAAAAGAATGTAAATAGAAAGTCTAAGTTTTAAGTTTTGCTTGTAAAGTCTTTACATCCATTGACACAAGGAATAAAGAAAAGCAAGATTGAGAAGATCTTGTCTTCCTTTGGAAGGCAAGTGCAAAAAAGTCAGAGACAGAGACCTCAATAATCAAGCATGTTGAGTGAAACCTTCTGCTAGTTATCCATAAGCAAACAAACAAACTATGTTTTAATCCTAAGCAAGTTGTAGTCGGTTATATGAATCATCACTGTCCATATCGCTTCATTTAAGCACGTGACAGTCCAATATTGTGTCACGTGTGAGGATACATCACAAATTGACTCGTTTAACGCTATCTTTCTCCTTTATCCCCTAGCTTGAGACCGACAATATGAGCAAGTTCACATAGGCAAAGTTCTGCACCTAGCTATCCATGATCATGTAAAATACAAGTCACTAGTACAGGACAGCTTATGCTTCCTTAAACATTTTGTTTTAAGCTATCAGTTCCATTTTTCTTTAGCTTTGGAGGCAATATTTAAAAATTTCAATGCTTCAAACATCAATATACTCTTCTATAAAGACAAAGCAACCTATTCCTTGACAAGAAATGACTTCTATTCATAACCTTCTTCATTACCATCACCCTTTCTCTCCTTCAATCTTGCACAAAAAATGGAAGACAAGAACATTTATGCGGCCGATTGCATAGTCATATGTTGCTGCTGCCAATGCTTGATCCTCCAAATCATCATCTTGTTCTTGCTTAACCTTCCATGCAAGTTGTTAAAGAAAACAAAAGAATGTATAAAGAAACTGAGATATCGAAGACGGAACAAGAAAAATATTATGGAGATGGAGATCAACAGACATGAAGATGAAATCTTGAAAGATCATGGAGGATCTTTGAGGGTTCAACTTGAGAGTTTGTGTTGTATGGAAGAAGTTGAAAAGGTTTTAGAGGAGTTTTCTCAAAAGGGTGAATTTGCTTTTGGAAGCTTTTGGGGTGGGGATGAAGAGGATGTGTTACAGACAGAGAGAATCACAACATGTATACATAAACAAACAGTTGATTATGATGTTTTTCACACTCATTTGATACAAGTTTTTGGATCTTTCAACTTGCAATGACACTATCATATGCCCTTTTATCTAAATCTCATATCTGTTAGAGTTCTTGGGATACTGCTTATTCTAACGGATTTAAGTTAGATACACTGATAACGAGTGTAAAAAGAATTTAAACCATCGAACGATTTAACATGTTATTGAAGGTTACTTACTATTTATTCAAGGTTACCAATCAATGCTTATTACAGAAAAGCAACCAATTTGTGTAAATGTGAAAAGAAATACCATAATAGTACACCCTCACTCCAAACTTAGCTATTTTAAATCCTGAATTCGCCTATGATAGTCTCTCGTGTATGTTTGACTTGGTTTTCGGGCATATATAAGAATGTTTTGTCATGTCATCTTCGTCTGACTTTCGTGTTTCTTCTCCATGACAAATCTCGGACCCCGCTCATTTAGTAGGAGCTTAGTGCACCAGACTATCTTTTTTATCTACTAATTAATATGTATTGAAAAAGGACATCTGCCAAAAGATGCAAAATGTCCTTATAAACTAGAAATGCTCATTCTTCATTGCAAAAACCAAAACAAATGTACACATGATAATGAAAAGAGAATATTGGGTCTTATAACTCAAAACAAATCCACTCCTCTTTCTTATTAGAAAAAAGTAGCTTATCTGCTATTCTGCTTCTGGTATTCAACAACAAAAACTTTTAACAATTTTACAAGATATAGAATGAAAGAATTACAAATATATTACCAGTTGACAAAATTTACAAACTCATGAGACGTCTTTGCTCATTTAAGACATAGTATACTAGTAGTATAGCTTTGCACCAATTGGACCTCGACGTTGTGGCTTCAATATCTGTAGTCGTGTACAGGACCAGCTCGAAAAACATGTACAATGAGCAAGTTCCTGCTTGACAGTGGTTTTTTTGGAGGTCCAAAAGTTGTCGTTGCTGAGAATACCTATTCAGGTGTTATCTGTGGCTACTGTTGTGCTCTTTCTTGTCTTCCAAAGGATTCCTTCTAGCCAATGAACGAGCAGTGAAACCTACTGTTGTGGGCCTTATTGACCTCTGTCTTACCACATGGCAGAACTCTGGGTCATCAGCCCTTCCCTCGAATCTTATCCATTGAATCATACCGTGGTACATTGGGAAGAACCGCGTTTGAATAGCATTGTATGCAAAGTATGGAATTAGAGCTGAAATGACTGTCAATATCGTCATGATCCAGTAGAATGGGGATGGGGCTAAAGCTTCCACGAAGATTCTGTATGCGGTAGTGGAAAATGTTGTAGACATGGTTCCATAAATCAGAAGGAAGATGTACCAGAGAGCAATTCCACCCCAGACGACTATATGCTGGATTAAGGTAAAATAACTGATAGCAAGAGCCATCTGGCAGTTGGCAACCCAAACAACACTTGTGTACATGGTTGCTCCAACAACCGCAAATTCAGCAACTTTACCGTCTTTTTTAAAGGCTTGAGGATCTAGTGCTGTTATGCAGAAGAAGAAGATTATCACCGCGCTGCAAACGCCATTGATCATCCAGCCAATTATACGACGCCATCTGAAAAGGAGATTCTGGATACCTTCTTGGTACAGCAAAGGGAACTGCCACATAATACCAAAAGAAAATTAGAAACTAAGAAAAAGTACTTAATTCCATGTCATGTCCAAGAAGCTATAACAGATACAAAAACAGCTGATAATAGTAACAAGTTTTTGACCGTGTGAGAGGTTAGTATGGTAGGTTTTAGGAGAGGTAGAGGTAGGCCTGAGAAAACTAGGGGGAGGTGATTGGACATGACACGACACATTTTCAACTTACTGAGGACATGACCCTAAATAGGAAGATTTGGAGGCAGAGCGTAAGAGTAGAAGGGTAATAGGTAGCCGAGCGATATAGTATATATTTGTAGTATCTTATTCTCCTAATTTTCACTATCGTTTGTTTTGTTTATCTTGCTATATTCCTTGCTACTTTGTTGCTGGTTTTTCTTTCTATCATGCTTTGATTACATTTGTTTTGAGACGAGGGTCTATCGGAAAACGCCTCTCTAGGTTCTACCCCACAAAGGTAGGGGTAAGGTCTGTGTACATCCTACCTTCCCCAAACCCCACTCGTGGAATTACACTGGGTCTGTTGTTGTTACAGTAATAAGCACATATATATTAAGCGAAAACGAATACTGCATCAAGTGTAACATACCTTAAGACACAATCTGGCAGATACATCTTGATCAAAAACTCCCAAAGCAATCACCGGGAGTGATGTGAAGAAGACATTGTAAGTTGACAGAAACCATTCATTGTATGCTGGTTGTCCAGAAAATGATGTATATGCCTCATATAAGAACACAGTGACACCAAATAAGATGTTTTTGTAGAAGAAGTAGCATATCTGCAGGGAAACAAATATAAAAGCCAGTTATTAAACTGCTCCAATAATAATATCTTTTTGTTTTGAAACAGTTCCACAAGACAGTGGATTTATTCTTTAAACACATTTTTATCTCATCTAACAAATGATGAGACAACAAATTTAAAAGAGAAAATTAGCGGAAAATAGATTACCATCGTAGAGATCCTTCTATAACACCAATGACCATGCACTAAAAGCAAGCGCTCCAAAAATCGGAACTGAGCAATTGCAACATCACTTGACATAACAGCCTAATGAGTAAAAACAAGAAAAAGTTATGAAAAGAACATTTAGGTGGAGGAAAAGCATAAATAAGAAAATCATCAATGTTGCTACATGGAGGAAAGAGAATTAAGTATAAGCTCTTGAACCTGCATTCCTTCGACGCCACTGATTCCAACTCCAATATCAGCTTCTTGAAGCATTCCTACATCATTAGCTCCATCTCCAACTGCCAATGTTATCTTTCCAGTACCGTTTTTGACAAGTCTTGTTACCTATATATTCCAAGAAAGAGTCAAATTAAAGCACCAGAGTAGACTACAAAACATAGAGTCTGGATTGTGAAATCAATTTTCAACTTACTAGTGCTTTCTGTTTTGGTGATGAACGACAGCATATAACAGAGGCACATTTGATTGCAAGGTCTAAAAACATATCTTTCACTTCATCGTCTAGGGCATATGTAAGAGATTTCCCATCAATGATTAAAGCAAATGCCTCTGTGCTTGAAGCAGTAAGTAGAGCCTTTCCTTCAGTAATTTGCCGTGAAACACTTCCCTTTGAAGCCTGTAATTTTAAAAAAAAATCAAATACAACTTCATGAATATTGAAACTTCAAAATTTAAAGAATCATTTTCACATATTTGATTATGTACCTATTGCTGCTACTTCAACAAGCAATGCAAGCAAAGAAGGTTCTCAACGAGATTATAGGAGGAATTGCTCTTACTTTTCTCTTTTTCATTCTTATGTGGTTCTTTATTGATTTAGTTCATGGATATTGAATTGTTTAGAGTGAACATGCATGTTAAACTCATGGGTGCACAGAGAGAGTGTAAGAGTAATGTCATCAATCATTCGCAAAAACAGTGAGCTATTTTCAGCTTCAAAAAGCTCATTGTCGAGACAAAACGGAACATAACCATAGGTTAACTTCTTATAAGGAATGGCAGAATTTTTTTGTTCCATTTCAAAATGACTCAAGCTTTGCAGATATGGAAATTGATGTGACACATTGAACATGAGATGTATTTACCCTGGCAATTGCATTCTTTTCTCCGGCTTTCTCTACAGCTATAATATCAGGGCTTTCCAGTGTTATGATAATTTGCTTCATTCCTTGTCTAAGCAAACTACACGCATATCTGCAGGAGACATTTTGGTCAGAATGTGTTTGGACATGCAAAGCGTGTATCAAATAAAAACGATAAAAACTCATAATCAATTACTATACCCGATATTAATGGCTGTTTCCATCTTATCCCCGGTCAAAACCCAAATCTTTATGCCTGCTTGAGCAAGTTTGTCAATGCAATCAGGAACCTAGCATGAATAGAAACAGAAAGATCAATACACATCCAAATGACGTTTAATCGATCAACAATGCTTGGAAACAGTTCTCGGAGTTCATAAAACTTACCCCTGGTTGAAGTTTGTCCTCTACAGCAGTAGCACCAAGAAGAATCAAGTCTTTTTCTATCTTATCTGTTACTGCATCAATGATTGATTCACGGTCTTCACTGACTGAATTCTTGGCCTCTAGAAATTTCTCATTGAAAGTATTGTATTCTTCTTCACTGAGCTCACGATAAGCCAGTATCAAGGTCCTCAAACCTGCATCAGCATACTCATTCACATGTTCCCTTGTTTCTTGTTCAAACCTTCTTCCACTCTTTCCGAGTCTTTCAAACATGATACTGTCAGCACCTTTGGAGAGTAACAAGATCTTTCCGTCCTCATCCTTTACTATGACAGACATCCTTTTTCTTGTACTATTAAACTCCAAAACGTTCAAAATCTTGTATGACCTGCATACAAAGATCTCTAAGATTACTCTTAACAAAAAAGTGCCTATGTTTATAGCACTGCATAAAATATTGGTAAATTAAAATTGGCATTCATTGTCTGAAGTTTTCATAGAGATTAAACATCTTTTTGAAAAGAAGCAAGAAATGTCACTGGTACCTAGGCTGCATTGTCTACCCACTAGTCTTTATGGATGATCAATAATGATACACTTGAGCAAGAGCCAGCCAAATATAGGAGATACTATTCTTTCAGAAAACTAAAAATGCTGAAAACATATACTGAAGAAAAATGTTGCAAATTAACTAACCTCTCAATTCTCTTGCCAGATTCCAGATCCAATTCATGCACCGACACATTTGTTTGTGTCCTTTTAAAGAATTCAAAACCAACTTCTCTAGCAGCAATCACAAAGGCTGCTTCATCTGGAGACTCAGCTTCATATGAAACCTTGCCTGTAACTTCATCTACTTCTGGTATGACTGTATGACAGACTGCTAACAAACGGAAGAACTTCTGTATTACATCTGAATGAGGCTCAAAAAGCCAACTCGCATTCATGATTCTTTCGTCTTCAAAATTGAAACCTT